CTTGTTTACTATAATAATTATTATTATATATATATATATATATATATACACACACAATGACAATAATTATAACACACTAAGGTAATTTTTGTTAACTTTCTCACCTTTCATTTTTAGCCTCAACACAGAGGTCTCGAACTGCCTTCAGTATATTCAAAACACAAAGACGCAGATCTTTGTGCAACGTCAACCCTTGAGGAGAATTTAGTAATATTTTCATTTACTAATTTTTCTTCACACCAAGAAATATGTTGTATCGTGTATTTTAAATCAGCTAATACACAGTTTTCAATTCGTGGTTTAAGGTCTACATTTTATTCAATTATCCAATGTTTACTAATAATGATCTTTAAAGAATAATAAGCCTTTGATAAAAGTTCTTTTTCAACATAATTACTTGAATAAAGTAAGAAAAAACAAATTTAAGGAGAAAATAAAAAATAAATATTCTGGTGATGAAGTGATTGTACATTTACATCTTTTAATCCTTTAATTTCAACTGAAGTTTCCAAGCAAATAATTGAGGGTTCACATTCCATATAACACAATTTAATGTTATTATATATATATAAAATCAGCAAAAGAGACACAGACCAAAAGAAATTTATTTTTGGCAACATTTTTCCAGTTATTCTTAGAACTGGTGCATGCAAGAAAACTGCTGTCTGACAGAATGAGTGTTGATGTTTTGTTGTTAAAATTTAAGTGGTTAAGAAGTTCAAGACAACTGACAGAATGTCAATTCTGAAGTACAAGTCAACAGTTCTGGTATTACCACTAATCGGACAATTAGAATGGAAGGATACTGATATTTGTAACTAAGAAGAAAACTACTAAATTTCATAAACTGAAATAAGGGTCATGCTTTAAACATTTTACCATGGATTTTAGTCATATTTTGTCTATCTCACAAGTAGTAAGGAACCCCTTTATTATCACCTAAATCATTGTTCTCAGTCTTACTTGTGGCTGAATATAATGTAAACTTAAATAGCTTCAGTTTTAATGATAACTATTACTACAAAATAAAAAGAATACTACTATCTTTCTATAGGCTATATTGAGCTTTAGATGTTCCAATACAATGATGTTTAATATGCATATTTGTAATTAACAAGAAAATGACTAAATTTCATGAGCTGAAATATCATTTTTTAAATACTTGTATACAGAAATGATGGAAGAGCAGAAGAAAATTTCTTATAAGCCAATGAAATGCATTCTGAAACTATCAGTTATCAAGTTGTTGCATGGGGGGGCTAGTTCACAAAGTGTTAGCAATTCAAGAATAGCTTCTACAAATGTTTTGTTGAAATGTATGAAATATCTTAGAATAATAAAAATGAGTAATATATTTTAGCCTGCAATCAATATGCACATCTCACACCATTTTGTTACATTGAAACTGTATGCAAAATATCTAAAAGTGATAAATACTAAATCTTTCAACATTCCACTCAAATGTAATTATACTACTAAGAAAAAAAAAAGCTTCTGTCAGACTTTTGTTTCTTTTTACTTAGTAAAGCCCTTTTTCTTTCAGCATTGAAGATTTTATTTCTTTGATGAAGTGTAAATAATAGATGTTGCTGTTATCAACATAATTAAAGTCAGCGAGAAAAACACCTCTCGTTAAACTTGCCTCAGAGCAGCAATTGCCACTAAATTCACTTAACCAATTAGCAATCAATTAAGAATTAAATGTACCAGAGAATAAACAAACCTTGGCTTTTTGGCAGGCCATGAAATGCTGATAACAGAGCAATACATGATGATTCCAGGCTGTTCACAAGGCTCTGAGTTTCTGGTACTGAAGGCAAAGGGGGCTGACTAAAGGCCACACAGAGCTTTGTACATTCCTGGGAAACCATTTTTCCTGTTCCACCTCAAACATAAATCACTTTAAATAAAATTTTATGCCTAAACTATTAGAAAATTAGGACAAAACTAAATATTCATATATACTAGATTATAAATTTTACAGAAATGTCAACTAACCAAACAACCCCCATGCTTTATACTACATAATGCTTTATTGGTACAAAACAATTCATCTCCATTGGGTTGCAATTTCAATCTATATTTGTGCATGAGTAAATGATGCTCTTTACAAATACAGTAATTCAAAATGAATGTAAAAATTTGTATATATTTAGATTTTTGACAACAACTAAACAAATTACATACAAAATTAATCATAACTTTTATTGTCTTCATTGTGTGTATCATTTATATTCTTTATAAGCTTTAATGCTACCTACATTTTTTCATTAGTAATAATCTGTAACATTTGATATTCTTTATTTTTTCATAGGGCTTTGCTTGCTGTTTTATTTTACGTATAATTGGATTTCACGTATCATGAAGTACATAAAATCGAAATTTTACTGTAAATATTTTCAAGGCAACAAATGTGATGATACATGAGAGTAAAGATCATTTTAAGTATCACATACTTAGTTCATTTTAAGAAAGACATGTATATTATAACTACTATGTCTTCTTACTCATTCTTCACTAGATTAGGTATTACATACTGTAAACATTTTAAGAATACATCTTGCAAACAGTTTTTTATTTTTAGAGTATCTTATTTACATTGCTCAAGTGAACAGTCTTTTTCAAATATGTATATTATATATTCAGCATTTTAACTTTTGTGAAAAAATTCAGTGGCACCTTCATCTACATTAAAACAAGTTTGTACCACCTGCATATCCTATACATCACTTAAAAAATATCATAGAATTTTAAAAATCATTTTCCAAAAGAAGTAGGCTATAACAAAAAATTTAGAGATTACAATAGACATCCACACAAGTCTGCCAAATATGGTAACCACAGCTGCTACGAGCACAGTGAATTTTGTAAATTCTTATGGTAAAATTTTAAGACAATCATTCTAGAACAAATTGTAAGAAGTTTTCATAATATAGTTTAAAATATTTAATAATTTACCTTTATTCTGTATTTCTTAAAAATTAAGGGTAAAATTGTTAAATGAACATTAATAAAAATCACACTTACTTAAACAAGTCCAGAATTCTTCTTTACTGAAATTGTCTGCTCTTCTTGATGGTGTGGCATCATCTGTTAAGTTAATACAACATTCATCAGTCTCATTACATGAACATAGTCACAAGCATACCTCAACGTTCTGATAATACACCTATTAAGCAAAAGAAAACTAGAACCACATCACACCATTACAGTGCCACAATTCATTAGTGTTGGATGATTCAATTGATTATAATCAATATAATGAATTATTTATGAACAGCTGTTACATTTATTATTATAACATAAATTAATCAAAATTATGATTAGATTGACTGTCACAAAAACAGTCAAGTAATCAAAATTAGGGTTTCTAATTACTATTTTCATTTATTCAAAGTATTCAAGTAATCAAACTATTTACAACCAAACTTGCTCATCCTGTCTTTGTTATGGAAAAACTACTAAGGCTATCTCTGATTGTCACTAACTTTGAGCTGCTGACTAGTAAGAATTAAACTGGCTGGCAGCATCTGCCACCAACCTTTTTTTTGTTGAACAGCGGGCCAGATGGATAGCAGTTTATTAGTAGCACCCACCACCAACTTTTTTGTTTTTGTTTGTTGCTATTGAACTGCTGACTAGAAGGATGGTAACTTGCTAGCAACACTTGCTGGCAATTTTTGAAGAACACTGTAGTTAATTAATGGAGCCCTCAATTAATTATTAGTAAATCTCACTAATAGTCCAGCTCTACAAATCATGCACATCATTGTAAAACATTTGTATTAATTTAAGTATACCATCTCTTTTAGACTATTTTAAATTATTGCATAAAAACTCAATGTCATCTTTCTTTCTTTCTCTCTCATATATATATATATATATAAGCAATAAAATCTTGCTTGTCATGCAAATGGAAACTTAATATCGTATAAAATACAGAAAACAATTAAGAGATATTAGTCTCAAATAACAAGAGTTAAGTTACTTAGTTGTTGTTAATTTTGAAAGTCTCAATTAATATACAGTTTGAGAGCCTGAACATCTTGAGAGTTAAATTTATTGTAAATTTAGAGTCACTGTAAGCCTCTTTAAAAATAAATTACATTATACACAACCTCATTAACCTCTGAAGAAGTAGGTTCACAAGTACCAACACTGTGTAAATAATACAATAATATCAACCTCAAAGTTCCAAATCTATATGCATTTTGTTAGAGAAATTTAAACATTAAAAATGCATACTGGCTATTAGTTCAACACAATTTCTTTTTATGCTTGTTGTATGACACTTGGCTGGATATTTACATTCAATAACTAGCTTGAGTCCAATTTGCAGTAGAATTGTGAAACTTTTTTAACTGTTGTACAAGATAGATATTATAGTAGAGAAATATTTTTCTTAATAAAATCAACCGAAGTAAGAGTGAAACATATAAATAAATCTTAATGTGGGTTATTAAAACACTATCACTGTATATGTTTAGAGGCTTCTTTGTTAGGTGGATCACTTAAAGCTATCAAATCATGTTTAAAGTGACAAAATACACCCAATTCCTGATCTTAAAAGGTCCTAAATTTGCCCCCCAAAATCAGAGCACCAAAATGGCCATTGATACAAGAACCTTTATACTTAAGATAGTCAAAATCTAATGTTGCAAAACACCCAATAGTTCACACTTCCTGATAAATAAAAATGAACAATTATAGCCTATAATTAAGTCAACCGAACTGAATGAAGTTTGTTATTCTGCATATTCATAAATGCTGTAGCAATACCTCATCAGGGAACATAGATACATGTAGAAGTCAAAATAGTGAACTTGCTCCAAACTTCAGTATTTTTGTCCTCCAATGGTTTTAGAGTTTTTGATGGTTGAGGAATTTTGGGGGTTAATTTATTAGTCTCTTTGTCAGAGTCCCTATTGCAGTGGTGTAGACAGGCAGGAAATTTTGGGTTAGCCTAGAGTTATGACAGACAAGTAGGAGGTGTTACATATGACATATCTGAATATGGGCACCATTAAGAAGACAATGATTACATGGGCCTGGGTGCTGATTAATCAGACCACTGGCTGTCCTGACCCATCTGTGACTATGCCACTTACCTGTAGAAGATGCTATTTTAAATTTTGTTTCAAATATATATATATATATGAAATTGGTCGATTTGTTTAGCAATGAAAAAAAGCTTTCTTTATACTTTATTGTAATTGAAAAATAAAATTACAAATGGTGGAAAGTTTTAAAGAATAAAACTCTAACTACAACTTATTAAATCTAATCTAAAAGTAACTGAGTAAAGTGTACCTAACTACTGTTTTTTAAACGATTGGAAAATCATTAATAATAATATGCTCCATGAAGTGTGTAGAGATAGTATGGAAATTGCAGATACGTTAGCTTTAAATAAGCAATTCAACAATTTTACAAAAATGTTTTCCTACCTCACTAACACTATGAAGTAATTTGGTATAATTATTACAAAAACGTACGTCACAGTACCAACCATTTCATCTTTCGATCTGAGTACAAACTAAGAAAACGCAATTTTGACGGAATTTAGTTCGGAACAGCCCAACGAACTGAGAATAACCTTGTTCTAATCACTAAATTCTAACTTAAAATATATGTTATTATTGTTAAGCCTTTTTAAAACACGTGCATTGTACGGAAACGAAAAATCATTACATGGCCAGTACTTGCTTTGACATTCTTCAACTAAATAAAGAACCTTAAAAATTAATAAGTAATATGAGTTTGTACCTTGTAACTGAGTCAAAACTACTTCCAACGTATCAATTATTATTTGTAAAACTTCAGAACGACTGGCCATTCCTATACTACGGATTTTGGAAACGTTTGTTACAAAACACAGAGGTACTCGATTGCTCGTTCCCCAGGTAGTACCGTACAGCTAGTAAACCACAGTAACAATAAAATCAAATATATAAAGACCATTTATTTTGTATTCCAATTCCATTTCATATATCTTAAAGAAAAAAAAATATTTGTAATTTTTACGCTATTACTTAAAATGCTTTATTTCTAACAATAACAAGAAATAAGTGCAAAAAATAACGAATGTAGGCAAATAAATGTTATGTATTATTTTTGTTCCATCGCCTGACTTTAAAAATTGTACGTGAAATTTTATTTAGTTTTAATTATTTCATAAACGTTACAAATTCCACGGGTATTGAAATCCTATTTTTAGCATCATAATCCTGTAGACTTACTACTGAGCCAGAGGGGGCTATAAATATCCTACGTGTTTCTGACTTCTTGTATTAATATAGTATTATTCTGGATTTATCATTTACTTCTGAGTGTGTGCATGTAGGCAAGAAAATTGTTAGGTTGATATCGTTCAAGCTTCCTTTATTACTTGTCATTTTATTGCTGCACTGTGTTCTATCGTTATGCTGGTTCTTTTGGATTATTTGATAAAAATAATGCGAGATTTAGTCCGCTTAACAACAATGAATTAATTTATTTCCTCTATAACGTTTGCTACAATCTATGTTCAATTTTCCACAATTGTAGGCCTAAGTTCACAAACAACGTTTTTACTTTCAATAGAAATTGCGATACTTAATATTGTTGCGTCAGCGAGTCACATGACCACTGTGACACCACGTTTCTAGAACTATCCTGTACTTTGGCGAATGCTCTAGTAATTACTAGATATAGGGTAGGCTGGTATATAAAAGAGGGGAATGT